GGGGAGAACAGAAAAAAAGGAACACAGACAAAACCTCCTGCTGCTTTGAAGCCACACATCACCAAGGAGCTACCATGCTTCTGTCAGATATACACAAATGCACAGAAACACACATGGAGCAGAAAATACAAATTAAATAAGGTTGAAAATCAAAGCTATCAAAAAAAGTTCAGTTATAAAAACTCCAGAAATTAAAGGTAATTTTTCTGTTATTAATGTTCAGTAAGAATGAATAAACATTTCTCTGCAACATGCCAGTGTTATAGTAGAATAAGTAGCCTCCAAAAGTCTTATAAATTTTTAAAGCTAACTTAATTTCATAATAATGGTTCCAGGAACATCTTTCTCTAAACGTACCGAGGTTTCTGAAGACCTGTCTTAATTTGGAAATTTTGTATTCCCCTTCTACCTTGAGGAAGCATTACCTTTGGGTCAGGCTGCAAGATGCCCATAACAGAAAAAGACCAAAGAAATAGAAATCGTTGGAGTTTCTTTATTTTCTAATACTTTTTGACCTTAAATATCCAGCAACAAAGTGTCCCAGAGGTTCTTGGCTATTTTATTTTTAATAACACTGAAAACCAAAGCTGTTATGACTACAAGCTGCACTGGCTTTGCAGGGACTTTAAAGTTAATTGAGCTGTAGCTGTTTACCCTATAGTAGGCACCAGCTCTGCCAACTCTGTAGGCAATGAAAAAGTCCCCCAAGCCACAGCCAAGCTACTGTCCTTTTTTTTTTTTACTTAAATGCTCCAAAGCAATGTGGCTTTTGAGAAGACTGAACTTATCCTCAGACTCTAAAAACATAAAGACACAAAACGCTTATAGAATCTCATGAGACATGGATGCTCAGAATACTTCCATCTCCATAATCTTAAACGCAATCTTTTGAAGTTCCCTGAGGCTTGTTGAGCCAGACATATATAAAGCTTTCAGGCATTTCAGTTATGGAAATTTAAATTTCTTGACTGGACTGGACTTCGTGAAGGAAATGTGAAAATCCTCCAAACTTCTATCACTCTAAGGCAAGCAGCTGTCATGCTTCCTCAATGGAAAAAAAAAAAAAAAAAAATAAAAACCTGCATAAAAGGAAGAAATGGTTTACTTTTTGTAAGAGGATAATTTAGCTTCAGAAAAAAAAAATAATATACACTCTCTGCTGGCAGACAAAGATGGGATTCCCACTGCAATTTTCACGTTTACATTCTACAGATACATCAACCAACAATTACTCGCAAAAAAAGAGGCAGATATTGTTTTACTGTGCCCTTGCCCTACAGCACACACAACCTTTCAGACCTACTCTAGCAGAATGAATAGGAGGCTTATCAGTGTGATTCATCTAACTAGTGTCATGACGTCATTTGTTGACTTAAAGTTGTAAAGAACATTATGTTACATATCAGTCAAAAATCAGTAAGCCGGGAAGTACATGCAATCGAAGGTAATAATGCAATATGAGGTTACAAGAATTATATCTACTGAGTAAAGATATAATTTTCTGTAGCCCTTCCTTAGATGGTACAGGTACAGACTGTGCTCTTTCTCTTGGATAATACAGAAACACAGCTGCTTTATATCCCCTGCAGTATTGTTACTTCAAAGCAGTATTTGACATTGTGCACTCATTAGGAACATCATGCAATAATTTACACGTTCACTTTGGTAAGAACTTGCTCTTGGCAAACTGCTGATCTTCCCTGTACTTTTTTTTTTTTTTTTTTCAGCTTCAGTTTTCCACAGATAAAAATTTTTTGGAGGTTCATCCCCTCCAACCCAATAACTTCAGAAGGGGAAGCCTCAGAAAACCTCCCGACCTCAAAAAGACTGTCCAGTCTGGGGTATAAATGCAGACTCACATTTATTTCTTAAAGATCCTTTAAGGTTTTCAATTTTTGTTTCTCTTCTTCCCTCCTACCATGCAGTGAGATATGGACAGAAGAGACCTGAAACACTGAAGGCTTCTGAAGATGTTCTGTGGGAAAGAATCAAGCATCTCTTCTCCCTGCTCTATACTGACATTCACATGCATTGAATTTTCTCACACAAGTTACAAACCAAATTTATTCAGTAAGCATGCTGACCTGCTCTTTAAAAATTTAAGTTAAAGAAATTCATTAAGTAAATCCTGTGTTCTTTGTAATTTCGTAATGCAAGACAGCTGGCTGCTCCCACAGCATTTAGTTGCTATTTTTGCACACAGCTATCCACATGTGGCATTAAGGTAACAGCCTTCAACACTGGAGTAGATGGAAAATTAGTACCTGGGGAACTGTCAAGCCAAAGAGGTAGAGACAGTCTCTGACTTGAACATTTTGAAACATAAAACACAACGCGGTACAAATACATATTAATTATAAGCCGTAATATAAAAAAAATAATAAAATAAACTAAAATTTTTCTCATCATGGTATTTAAATGGCAAAGTACAAAAATACTTGCAAAAGATGCCCGTTTTGGATGATGTTTTGAAATATCATCTAGCCCTATAGCAAGCGAAGCATTACCATATACTACAACACAGAGCAAAGAAGCAGTGATATGAAAATCTGAAAATTTGAGAAAAAGCTGAAAATGAAAATCGAATTTAAAAGTTTTTCACAATTAGAATGGGGAAGAAGTAATTTTACTGCCTAAGAAAGAAACACAGTAAGCAAACTAACCCCAGCAGAAAGGCAATGATAAACTAAGGGATGTTTGTTCACATGCATACCCAAAAAGCAAAACCTTTGTCATTCTGGATATAAGGAATATTATTACTCTGAAATCAAACAAGACAACTGAAGAATTCTAAATCAAGCTGTGTCCAGAATTAGAATCTACCACACAGTTGAGTAATTAGCCTAGATGAACATGAGATATTAGAGGAAATTAGGAAAGTGAAATATCTGAAATAAAAGTTAAGGTCAGTGAAGTTTTCTGCTGGCTGCAGTGGATTTAATAACTTTTCAAGTCTGATGCTGAAAAAACCCTGAACAGATGATAATGAGAGTTAAAAAAAAACAACTACACTAAAACAGAAAAAGAAATCAAATGCTAATCTGTATTCTTCCAAATTTAATTTAAATGAGAAAACAGTTTGTAAATTCCTTTCAGACTCCCTACAGCCTCAGATACTATAGTTGTAGGCATATTTAGAATACAACAGTAACATTATGCTTGCACTCATATGTATGTGATCAGAAAACTAGGTATATGCATTCAATCAGTTGCATGTGTTTTTTTTTTTTCTTCCCCATCCCCCAGACTCTTCAAAGATAAATTAGGTTATCCCAGACTAAGTGAGTAAAATTCAGAGTGAAACATATCGTAAACTGCATGACACTAAATGAAAGCATCAATAAATTAGTACAACTGACTCAGACCACTACATCTAAATTTTGTTCTAGAAATTAAATAGAGAGGTGAGTAGTACAGATACATAAACCACATTTATCTTCTTACATTCAAACTTATGTAACTTCAGTAACTGGTAGAAAACACAGACCTACATCTGCTGTAAAAGCAGAATTACTTTATAAGCTTTAATTGAAGTTTCAGGTATATCTCCTCCAGTCGTTAGCATTAACTAAGATTTTTTTCTTCTGCAGCTTTACTGGAGGAAATTTTTTTTTTTTTTTTAACTTTTCCTTCCATTTTTTGCTTCAACCAAGTTAGTGCTTGTTTCTGCAATCATATATTCCATATTTATATCCTGCCTTTTCCTTCTCCTATTAGTCTTTGTTTCTTTGTAGCTTTGGGTGGTTTTGAGCTTCATTCTGCTGCTGTCACAACAGTAACAATATGCTTTCCAGTACACAGACAGCTACAAAATTCCCTCAGCACGACCACCCTTTAAGATTTCAGCCTGTAACTTCCCCCTAATTAACATCACATGGTATCTGTATTAGCAGCACAACACAGGAATGCTATTTTCTCTCACTGCTTTACCCAAGGAACCATGAGAAATGTTAATGAACTTACAGTAGTTTTAATTTACAAATAACTAGATCTCTTCCTGAATTTGCGTTGCATTGATAGAAAATCAGAAAATAAGGAATAATTCAAGGTCAAAACGTGCCTAGTTCCTCCACTATCCAAGACTTTGGGAAGAAACGCCCTCTGACAGGCCTCTGGCTCATGATACCATAACATGCATTTTTTGATTAGGGCAACACTACTCCTCAGATAACTGAAATTAGAAGTGATCTCATCTTCAGTGGTATTTGTCCTTGTTCCAATTGTCCCAATCTAAATTATAGGGCTGGAGCCCTCAGTCAGCCAATGGAGATCAAGAAAAATCTGCTTAAGACATTGTCCCATTCTTAATGTTTTTCCATATCAAACTTATCAGATAACTTCAAGAGTTTATACAAGCATTTCTTTCTTTCCACTGATGTCGTTGGGATCCGCCATGGCTGCATTACAGTATTCAGCATGTCCAAGGTGGTATGGATGCTGCTAAGAGGAAAGCAACAGCTTCCTCATGTCCTGCTAGTGAAGTCCACAGCTGTAGTGTTACAGTCAAATAATATGGGTCTGGCACAACATCACTAATTACCTTCTAAAAAATTATATTTTTAATACAGTCTTCCTTACTTTTCTGGCCCTAATATTTGTTTCTGACAAACTCAAAACAAATAAGAAAAAACAAAGCCTAATGAGATACTGATCTTTTCCCCTTCCCGTCTTACATATCATATATGTCTGACTTCTACATGACATAAAACACACAATACTGTATTTCTACTAATAGCTCCTACAGATCTGAATTAATTTCCACTACTAGAAGACGGGATTACATTTATTTAAAAAAAAACCAAAAAAAACCAAAAAAAACCCCCCAAACAAAGCAAAAAACACCCAACACAAACACCATAAACCAACCAACCTATAATCTGAGTTCGACTCCACCTAAGAGTCTACAAAAGTCAAGAAAAAACCCTCTCATTAGCCAGATAAGTATTTAGAAATACAATGGATTCATAGAGTCCCATCAAAACCAGTGAGATACTGCATACATCAGAAAATATATATTCATTAATAACTTCAAGAGTTTTTCTAGAGAAGACCTTTGTTCTAGTAATATTAAAGCACCAGAATTTTAACTAGCTTCAACCATGGTGCTGTAGTCAGAGCTAAAAGGAAAACTTCTCCAACATCAGTGTGAAAACTATTTTCATGCAAGTCTGCCTTTATAATTCAAAAAAAAAAAGTGGAAAAAAAACTCTGTCCTTGCTCCTAATGAATACTTATTTATAGTGAACTCACAACAAACTATTTATGAAGGAAAACACATTATACTGTGTTTGACAGTTGTAACACTATAAACTTTTATCTAGACCAAGCTCACATTAAAAAAACTTTTAAGTGTCACTAAAAAGGCACAAGAAAGCCATATCTGCTATTTTCTTATTAAGTCAGTACCATACCAGCTAAAACACTGGAGAAGAATACATATATTTGAAACACAGGCTGTTACACCTTGAACTTGGCATTACCAATATTGAAAGTTGTGCTTGTAGCCCTCTGTACACCTCATTATCATGGCACAGCTGCAGCGACAGACAGCTCACAGATAAAATATATATTATTATGAATAAATGTGTCAGATCATTCGATAATTACTACTTACACAAAGCAGTATAGAAGAACTGCAGAAATTCCTTTATAAATTGGCCACCCACGGTTCTCCCTCTTTTGTGAAAGGGTCTCCTTTAAATTGCACAACCTTGGGATGGAAAGCCACAGTACTTTAAAGGCTTCTAACTTCAGTGTCAAACACATGAAATAATTTTTTTTTTCCCATTCCACCCCAAACCAGACTCATTGTACAGACAGACACATGGCACGTGGGTGGCTGCAGGAACATCAGCAGGAGTGAGGGACAAGGGAGCTGCAGCTGCCGGGACTGCGGCTGGGAAGGCGACAAAGATGCACACCGCCG